TCCATCCCTCACCTTGCTGAAGCCAGGCTGGGGTGCTTTCTCCGCTCCCATTACCACACTGGCAGGATGGAAATCCCTCCTCCAGCTTCACGCAGTTGCAGCGTGCTCAGGGAGGAGAGAGCAGACGAGAGTTGCTCCTTGCCCTAAAGGGTTTGCAACTTCACCGAGAACGGGCAAACCCCGATAAGAAAAGGGAGGTTTCTCTGCAGGAGGTGGTGGGTGCCAGCAGCGAGTGGGCAGCAGGGAGGTCTGCAGCGCTGTGGGAGGGGGCTGCTGGGCTTTCCAGCCCTGCGCCCTGCATCTGGACAGGGTGTGCAGACCCCGGGCAGGCTGGTGGGTGCCCTGCCGGGGAGCCAGGGCGCAGTGACAGCCCCGCACCCAGGCCAGGGGCAGGGGGGCAGAGGTTCCTCTTCAGGCACCTTCACTTTCCACAGCCATGCAGCAGTCGGTCCTGGTGATGCTCTTTTACTCCAGCCCCTCAAACCTATTATTTTCCACACTGATTTGTGCCTCGGCCCTGCTCCCACCCCCAGCACAGGCTGCACGTGTCTGGGGGCAGCTGGACGGACCCCGGGACGTGGCTGGGACAGCCGCCTGAGCAGTCATGACAAACAGCTAACACTAGCACGGGCTTGCTGTCCTGCTATGTGGAAACATATTAATTGCATTAGTATTTCCACTGGAAATTATAACTTAGATCCATTAAGTTCAGCCAATTTCCTTACCCCGCATCTGCTAAAAGGACACCTCTGCTTTTTCCACTGCAGTACCTTGTCAGTGCCACCAGTGCTAAACCTGTGGGAGGCTAGTCACATCCATGTGATGCTTTCAGAAGAGGCCACACACTACCTCCACCTCCTGTCTCCCACTCCCCTCACTTCCCTAGAGGTAGCCCAGCATCTGAGCTACTGAGAAACAGAAAACCCTCTTTATGAACAACCAAATCAGATCTCCAAACCCATTACTAATTAGTAAAGATGTCCCGCAATTTAGATCGCCTTGGATGGTCTTTAGGTCGTTCACAGGTGTAAAGTCAGGAGCATTAAGGGCTTATAACATTTGTCTGGCATCGTTGCTACCAATTCCAGCAAAAACAATGGAGCTAGCTTCTTGGGTTTCCTGCCACCACAAAGTACACACATGCACACACTCTCTCTATTTTATGAATGTTTACATACCCGAGCTGCCAGGAATCTCACTCACGTTGCTTCCCACCACCTTAACACACTTTCCTGTATCTCTGCAAATTTGTTTTCTCACTGAACAGCTGGTAATATCCCTCTTGCTTGGGAGCAGGCGGAGGCCGGGCTTCCTCGGGTGCCAGAAAAGCCTGGCAGAGGGCGTACCTACAAGCTGTGGTTTCCATCCCAAGCCATTCACACCTCCCAGTGGCTACCCAGAGATGTTCCATGGAAGGAGCGCAAGGCCAAAATAAAAGGAGGGATTAGAAAGTTAGGGGCAGGGGGGGAATGGCCACGCTGACATCCACCTACTCCCCCTGAAAGGCCACAGCGTCTGAGGAGGTGCCTGGAATGGAGGAAACATCTACAACTGCTTGCGGAGACCAGCAGAAAAGCACTTCCACATCTCCACCTCCAGGGGCACAGCCAACAAAAATAGCACTGGACCCAAAAGATATGAATAGAACAGAGACTGCAGAAAGCTTCGACTCATTTTACAGTCCCAGCAGAAATAAAGGCAGGAGGTTTGCCCTTTTTCTGTCCCCAGCCTCCGTACATTGGAGCACCTCTGCAGAAAAGACATGTCTATTTACCTGAAGATTCCCATGGGAGCGGCGAAACGAAATGCCTAACTCATTCAAAACTCACAGGGGAAAACCTTGCTTGTGATGAAAGCACTTCCCTTTCCTAGCTGGAAACTTTGGGAACTGGGCGGTAGGAGGGGGAACAAACCAAACCACCCTCACCCCCACCTTGTTTTCAACAATTCAGGCTTTTTTGCACTCCTGCTCTTGCTCAGTAACTCTAACTGACGCAAGCAGACCTGCAGGCTTCCTATTGCTGAACGGCTCCAGGTGAAGATAAGTGGAGGTGTCTTAAGATAGCAATCTTCTTCTGTTGCTATGGGAGCTGTAACATCACCAAACACATTTGTGGCAAAGCTGGCACTTGGATTCAGTTTGTAGTTGGTGCTCAAAGGAACCTCTTATTACCCTGACGGGGAGTTAAACTGGGCTAGGAGTGCAGCCACCCCGTGAGACTGTTCTCCAGCCTTTAGCAGAGGCCAGCGTGTAAACCCATGCCCAGCGGCTCGGGGACAAGATAGTGCCCATTGGTACTTCCCAGTGCTGACCTCCTCCTGCCTGGCCCAAACAATGGGACGTTGCAGAGCTAATCCCAAGTTTGTGAGGTGCACCTCCAAGCCCAGCAGGGTTAGACAGAGTATAAAGCATAAAAGTAGACCCTAACTATGTAGAAGTAACTGAACTGGGCCAGATCAAAGGTCTGTTGTGGCCTTCCTCTTACCTCCAAAAGCAGCCAACGCTTAGGGGCAAAAAACGGGAGAATGAGAGAGTGATATTTTGCTGTGCATTGTCCAGCACCGTGCCACAGAGGTCTGCCTTTGCCTTTAGCAAACCTCCAGGGACTTTTCCTCCATAAATTTGTCGAATTGCTTTTTTGACCCCGTTTATACTTTTGACCTCCACAGCATCATGTGCCAACGAGCCCACAGTTTTATACACACACACATGATCGGAAAAAGTACTCCTTTAAGCCTCCTGCCTTTATAATTTCATTTGCTGCCCCCTGCTTCTTCCCTGTTTTCTGGCCATTCTGGCCCATTTCAGCTCTCATTCGGGAAAGCGGTTCTTAATTTCTCTGTTAAATGTGTGCACAGGTCTGATGAAGAACCTCATCCCTCCGTATTTTGAGACAAGTTTAGCATCTGCTTGCACCGGCACCAGGTAACGAGAATGCTCCAGAAGCTGCTCCTGTGCTGAGGACAGATTTGGGAAGAGCTTGGGAAGTCCTGGACATTTATTCCTGCTTCCCAGGCCCATCTGTAGTATCCCAAATGGAACGTGTTGGGCCTGGACGGACCAACCCACATGAGAAGGCTAGGGAGCATGGCACTGCATTCATTCACTTTTTCAGTAATCTTCTTTCTTTAATAATTGACTTTCATTTATTCATTTACCTATCTTTATTCATTTGCATCTATCAAAGTTCTGGCACAGCTCTGGTGGGAGGTGCAAGGCTCCCATTTTTTCATTCCTCCGCTCGGTGTGAATTCATGCCCACACAAATTCCCACTCTGGCCCGGAGGGCTCTGACTTTTAGCCACGAGGTGGGGCGAGCAGCTAAATTCCTGATCTGAGCATGTGCGCAGCCAATGCAAAGCAGACCACCATGGAGTCGGGGTTTGCCAAGCTAAATCACTGGAAAAAAATTCCTCCTCGGCTTCAGCCTTTGCCACTCGATCTGTGGAAATGTGCAACCTTAAACCCCGAGTTTCCAAAACAAATGCACACGGGGCGAGGGAAGAACGCAAAAAGCGGCGGGGGAAGGTGGCTGTGCTGGCGGCGGGGCTGCGGCCCCCCGGCTCTCCCGCTCTGAGCCCTCCGGTCAGCCTCACGCCGTGGCCGGCCGGCGGGAGGAATTGGGGCGAAAACCGGGCTGGGAGCGACTCAGTAGCGAAATAGTTATCTCGGCTGGCTTTCTCGGTAACTCTTGGAAAGTCCCCGAAATGACGTTTCTAACCTAACAATTAAAATGGGTTTAATTATAGAGAGGCTCAGAGTCTTGGGAACAAGCACCATCTACAGAATGAGTAAACAACTGCAGAAAATAATAGGCTGGTCTCTCCCCTGGTTACTCCTCGCTCCTGGCCAAGGCAAGGGAAAAAAAAAAAAGAAACTAGAAAGAGAAGGAAATTCGAGGAACCTGATTGCTTGCCTTAAGTAAATAATAATAATAATAATAATATATATATTAAAAAAAAAGAGATCTGGAATAGCCGGAGCCTGTGGGCGTTTCTCTCGGTTGGTTATTTTGGCCGTTCTTGAAGACCGAAGGAGGGGAAAAAGACCAGCCGCCAGCTCAAAGTCCAGGTTCTGCGACTCTAAAGCAAACAGAAGAGGAAGCGGATCATTCGTTTGAAGTTTTTGGTGCGGTGGCCCCTCGGGTCGGCGTTGGGCTGCCGAAGGCAGGGGTTTCTTTTCCCCCAGCCAAGCTGGAGCGCGGGGCAGGAGGAAGGGTCTGCAGTGGTGGGGCAGGGTCCCCCCTCACCCGCCTGCGTGGGGGCACGGGCCCAGATGCCGCTGCTTGGCCTCAGACGGAACACCCACTAAAGTCAGATTTCGGGCGAGCCTTGCCCCAGCTGGGGCTAAAGGTTTAGGGGCAGCAGATTTCACGCTGAGGCACCCTGGCATCGACAAGCCTTGGAGCGTTTTGCTGCTTTTTTTTTAACGCAGAAACTGCCGCCGTCCTCCCCCCTCCTCCCCGCTATATCAATATCAGTATGAATCATACTTTGCCTACTAAAATCTGGAACGCATTACTTGCTCAGAGACGTTACTTCTTTTTTTTTTTTCAGTTTTACAGTTTCGAGTTCTGGGGACTGGGAGAAAGGGCAGAATTTATCAAACACCCTTTTAAACGGCAAACCCATATTTTAACAATTTAAATTAATGTGGATGTGAGCTATTTCCCCTCGCGGAGCCTGCCAGGTTTCAATAAAAATCGGAAAAAAGGAGGGAGGGAAGGGGGGGGCGGGAGGGGGGGGAAGCGATGTGAATCAACACAAAGACAGCGAGCAAAAAAACGCGAGGACGAGCGAAAACGGCTCCGATCAACTTAAATCCAAGCGGACAGGCCGGCGCTGCCCTCGGCCGGGAA